CTCAGGATGGGGGATCAGAGTGTTGATCTACCTGTGGAGGTGTTACTCAGGATGGGGGGTCAGAGTGTTGATCTACCTGTGGAGGTGTTACTCAGGATGGGGGTCAGAGTGTTGATCTACCTGTGGAGGTGTTACTCAGGATGGGGGATCAGAGTGTTGATCTACCTGTGGAGGGTTACTCAGGATGGGGGTCAGAGTGTTGATCTACCTGTGGAGTATTACTCAGGATGGGGATCAGAGTGTTGATCTACCTGTGGAGGTGTTACTCAGGATGGGGGATCAGAGTGTTGATCTACCTGTGGAGGTGTTACTCAGGATGGGGGATCAGAGTGTTGGTGGTTGTGGTTTAGATTGTTGTTCTACCTCGTTCTGTCCCTCTGGTCTAGCTTCTACCTGACAGGTAATCTGATTGGACATTTGAAGCAGGTTGTTTTTGCACGCTAGAAATCAGAGAAGCACTGAGAGGGTCCGGACTAAATAAAGCCATCACAGATTATCTCTGAGAATCACAGCTGAACTTTGATACTTAACATCAGCGTCAGTTTGGAGGATTGTGATTGGACTAGAGAATTTGATGCTGGATGTGGAGCGTCTAACATCGTGATCTGACTATCCATCACTGCGCTGATCCCTCTCTGCTCTCTGCTCGTCATCCTCTAAACGTAGCGATGAAGGGGAGTCAGCTAACAGCTGAGCCGCCAGAAATCTGTTTCTGATGGAGGAGGGGTCAGGACAGAAACCTGAGCCCTGTGAGGGATCTGCACTAATCCTCCTCCACATCACACTCAGGGCTCCTTTTCATTAAGAGCTATGAACACAAGGAGGGAAACTATTTCAGAGCCAGAGAAAGTGGAACATCTAACATCTTCACAGAGTGAAGAGAGGAGAGCTGCTCTATTTCAAACTCATCACCACACTGAAGGACTGAAGACGAGTTATTTCAGACTGAGAACATTAAGTGGTTTAAAAAAGAACAGAGGTGTCAAAATGTCACTCAAATATCTCTGAGCCTTTGTAGTTGTTAC